GGAAAGCTGGTTTATCCTTCCCATCCTGTCCACCCAGTTATACCTTCCCAACTAACTTGCCCTTACTACTAAACACTACCCCAGTTGGAGTGTCATTCCCTGGATACACCCTGCGCCTCTGTCCCTCAGAGCCTCTGCTGTATACCGTCCCACCATGAAAACATTCCTTCCTCATGCTACTTTTAGTGCCTTAAATTATTTACTTTTTCCTCTGGTTTCTTTAATTCAGGTCAAAGTCATGCCCAGATCCCTTTTCCAAAACACCTTCCCTTGGCTTTGCTAATTGCTGAGTTTACTCTCCTTTTCTGAAACTTACGGCTCTTATTTACTTACTGAAATTTCCACCATTTTCCCTTGCTTTCCTAAAATAATTTTATTGAAGATTGACAGTGACTTCCCACTAGCATTTTTTTTTTTAAGAGAGATTTTTGCTATAGGGCACAAACGCTCACCAGAGAGACAGAAAGGAGATAGAAAGTGAAAAATCTCCCCACAACAGGGATGGCCATGCCGCAATCCCTTTTCTTCTATTCTTCTTTCAGGGTTTTGGGTAAATACACACATGTGCCCAGCATGAGTTTTAAATCACCGGATCCTGGACTTGAATGAGGTCAAGGGAGTTTAGCGACATAACCATTTCGCCGTCTCCTGGGCACCAACTAGCATTTTTCAGAAGCTAAAGGGTGTGATGCTGAAGAGCTAGTTCACTAGAGCCAGACTGCTGGGTTTGAACTTGAGCTTCACCCACTTGTTGATAACCATGACCTTGGGCAAACTACTTAACCCCATGTCTCAATTTCTTTATTGTGAAATGGGAATAATGTTATTACCTGTTGAGGCCAGCCAGTGGCATGATGGTTGGGGCAGCAGGATCCTACATGGCCAGCTGAACTGTTCGAGTTCAGAGGTGGTGATTTGAAAACATGCTGGCCATGTGTGTGTGTGCCTGCCCCGAATCCCAAGAGGAGGATGGAAGAGATGGGATTGTGGCAATACCATCCCTCCTGGGTGTTTATTATCACCCAACTTCCTTTCTTTGGCGAATGCATGTGTCCCTATAAAAGCAAAAACAACAAAAAGTCAGTACCTACTGTTTGCAGTTGTTTGTGAGGATTAAATAGGCTAGTGTGAGTATGTAAAGCCAGTCTAACGGTGCCTGGCAAAGGGTATATCTTGTATATTCGTTTTTAAATTTGAGTTCTTAGTTATAAATCTTTCTCCTTGGCCTCTGCTGCATTTGACATGGTTGACCTCCTGTTGTCTTTAGTCCATTAGCTTTTGAAGTTCATTCAGGCTGAGATGAATTCATCTTGGGCCCTTTTGTTCTGTGCCTTTTATTTGTGGTGTGTTTCCATATACCGGATCCTCTTCTTCTTATGTCCTTTCTAGGTATTTTTCCTCTGTTAGTTCCAGGTTCGAGCTTTACTTTTGGTGACTGCCTCCACACATTGTATTTGTAGGTCCTCTTTCTTAGCTCCACTCCCTGCATTTATAGCCGCCAGATTGTGGTAGCAACATCATCTCCCATTCAACATCAGCTCTTCACTGATGCTAAAAGACCTGAAATTGTAGCAGTGTGTCACAGCAGTTAGGAACAGGGATATCAGGATCAGAGAGTTCTGCTGGAGTTCTTCAAGGTTCTGGAAACATTCTGGATCTTGTAGACCGGCACATTCTCCTGGCTTTGAGTACTTATAGGACTTTCAATGAACAAAGCTGGATGTGAAAAGATGCAGAGAAAGAAAATCTTATAGTAGATAGATTCCTTAATTCTCTTAAGTGGAGAACAAAGCAAATTCATAAAATCTCCTTCCTCACAAACCCAGTGTAGAATGCTTTGACGCTTTCATAAACTGTTGATTTCTGTTTTTTTTTTTTTTTTTTAAGGTGACATAGTTTATTTCTCCTAGGAAGCAGAACTGATAAATACATTAGATTTATGTCTCACAGTATAGAAGCAAATAGAAAATGAACTAAATTAGAGAACACGTGGACATGGTTTTAATTAAGCAGTGCTAGATTTTCCTATTTGTTTTCTGAAATGTTTCTTATAAATGGAAATAGGAATTTTAGACAAGGGTTTCCTCCAACTAAAGACTTGTCAAAGAAGAGTTTACATCTTATATGAATGATAATTAGCAAGTATTGAGTTCTTTGAGTGTGGACTAATACAGTTTTATGATGTTTGGAATCAGGTGCTCATTTCTCTTGGTGGTTTTAGTGTATCTTGCAGCACTTGGACACATCTCTTTATTCCTGTTAACAGCCACTCTAAACATAGTGTCATTCCCTAATGGGCTTTGATCTTTAGGGATTAAACCCATAAGGACCATTAACATAAAGAATGTCACTCAATGAGCTGTAAATGATCTAAAATAAACTAATAGATTTTCTACTTGGAGAATTTGGTGTCTAGTTTTATTGTTTCTGTTTCTCTATTCATCTAAGGAATGGTAAACACAGTCTTTTGGTACAGAAATCACTTTTGTTGGGGCCAGCAGGTGGCGTGGTGGTTCAGGTGCTGGACTCAATCCTGAACCTGATGGCTTGCTTTCTCTCTCTCTTTCTCTTTTCTTTCTCTTTCTCTCTCTCCCCTTCTCCTTCCATCCCTGGTGAGCACATGTACCTGATAGCAAAAAAAAAAAAAAAAAAAGTAATAATAAAAAAATCACTTTTGTTACAGGTACTTTCAGTAACCATTTTTTTTCTTAGTAGTTTTGTTACCTATAACTGTAAACTACATAAGTTAAAAAATTGTTTCTAGAAAGCACAGTAAAACATGTACTATGCTTGCCTGACCTCACTTGCTTAGGCCAGTGTCATTTTACTCTTGGCTCCGTCTCCTACCCTGTGGCAGGCCTTCTTTTTACAGTTTATTGTAGAACAAATGTAAAATAGTTATATCACTGATAACAAATTTCATATAACATTAGAATGAAAAAATTAAGAGGCTATAAACTAGTTGGTATTAGTCGTCCATTTGATGCTGTTTACCTCCTTCTCATTTTGGTTAATTTCGGATCTTGGTTTAGGCAGAATTGATCATGTCACTTTGGCTTTTATTGAACATCTTTCCATATTTCTGGTTGGCCATTCCTCCTTCTCTTCATCTCTTATCTTCACACTTTTAAGGTCCATCCAAGCGCAAAAATGTAATACAAACCGGTGGTGCTTGTAATCAGGTATAATAAATTCAGGCCTAAACACGTTCAGTCTAATTATAGGTCTGTTTTCTGGAAAGCATGTAGACATACTCTTAAGAATGATTGTGGTATAGGTCATGTGAAACCTTGATTTCTGTTTATCTCTTTCATAGATCAAAAGTAGAAGTGTTATTTTACCATTTCCTTACTAGTTTTCTTAATGCATTTGTTTGTTCTTTGAATTCAAATTCATATAAAAATGGAAAGAAGTCTGGTAAATATTACAGTTCTCTTACTTCTCTGTACCATCACAGAGAAATGGAGTCCAGAAAAATCATCGACATTCTTAAATTTTTTTATTCAGCATTCATCTTATTGAGAGTCTTAGTACTGTGTTCCAAAATAGCATATCTCAAAGTAAGAGTTGCTAACCAAGACTTGTAGTTTCTTGGCTCATGAGCCTCTGTCTTGAATCTGAGTGGACTTTGTGAATGTTGGATTGTGTGTTTAGAGAACACCTGGTATACAGCTCTGTCTGTATTTATTTATTTATTTATTTTTAAGAGAGATTTTTGCTTATAGGATGTGTGTGCTTACCAAAGAGACAGAGAGATAGAGAGCGAGAGAGAGAAATCACCTTCTCAGGGAGAATGGCCATGCCGCAATCCTTTCTCCTCCATTCTCCTCTCAGAATTTTGGGCACACACACACATACACGCAAGCACCCGGCATGAATTTTAAGCTGCCAAGTCCAGGAATCGAACCGCTATCCACTATATGGGAGTCCAGTGATGTAACCATTATGCTATCTGCTGGCTCCAACACTGCCTTTGAATGTGGGAACAGATCCAGGGAGCTGCCCAAAGGCAGGCCAGGACCTGCTACCTGATTCTGTGCCTCTCTGTAGAAGCTCAGCAGCTCTAACATCAGAGGGTTTTGTAATTGCTATCAGTTTCCTGGTTTCCCTGAGTGGAAGAAATGGGTCTATCTTTGAAGCACTTATCACAAAGAATTAAATTGATCCTTGTTAAAATGCACATTGATTTTTATTTCCTTTGCTTTTACAATCCTGGTAGGTAGATTTGTGGTTGGGACCAGCAGAAGACGGCATAATGGTTACACTGCTTGACTCCCACATAGTCAACTGCAGTTGGAGTCCTGGTCACAGCAGCCTAAAACTCACGCTGGGCACATGTGCATGAGTGTCCAAAATCCCAAGAGGAAAATGGAGAAGAAGGGATTATGGCATGGCTATCCCTTCCAGGGGTGATTTCTCACTTTCTGTCTCTCTGGCAAACACCCGTGCCCTTAAAAAAACAAAACAAAACAAACAAAAAACCCCAAAAAACTCTCTTAAAAAAATTGTGATTGAAAGGGAGTATAAAAACTCAAGAAACTAAACTTTCAAGAGAAATTTCCAAAACAGACATAGATTCTTGATCACCCTTTTTACCCAAACACACTGAGAATTTGCAGGATCCATTGCCAACTCTTTATCCATGCAAGATATTAGAGTGATTTAAGGTAATATTTACTATTAGGTTGAAATAAAACCTTGTATTTGTGTAGTTTTTTACTTGAAGGAATTGATATAGAATTAGAGAAAATAAATCTTGTAACCATAAGATTGAATGCTTATAACAAAATGCCCTTTTGAAATTTATAAATATATTTTGTAAAAATCATTTACAGATAAAGGGGTATGTTTTTATAGTGGGAAGTAGCCATTTGATATTTCTCTTTTCTATTTGGATATGTGAATTGAGCAAGTTGGTGTCTATTGGTTACTTCAATAATTTTGAATATTAAATAAGAAAAGCTTATGGAGTCATGTCATCCTCTCTTTTTCTCTTACAGCCAACACTTATCTCTTTATGGTACAAGCTCGTGGAATAATGTTGAGAGAAAACGTGAAAACCATAGGCCATATGATTAGGCTGTACACAAATAAAAACAGTACACTCAACGGCACAGGTAAGCCTGCCTCCTGCTTAGTGCGCTCTACCTCTTCTCGCTCCTGTTGTCACAGAGCAGGAAAACTGACCTCTGGCTTTTTCCTCCACGTAACTCCCCGTTAAAGGTGAAGGCATCCCTACTAATCTCATTAGTCGTTATTTTACAGTGTACATCAGAATAGTTGCATTTTAGGATGTCTAAAGGAAAGTTCACAAAAGTGATGGGGTTTTGTACAAAGATGTACTTTGTTCTTATAAACATAAACAAAATACAAAAAAACAGCCTATGTGTTTTTCAGTTTACCTGTTGTGTTTAAGAGAACTTAATCTTACAGAGAATACTTTATTCATTTTAGTGAGCCCTACTGTTTCTATTTATGCCCATGGTAATCCCTAAAATGCTTTTTCTAGCTAGCTCTTAACATTTTTTTTTTTTAAATGAAAAGTCTATTTCTTCCAGAAGCAAGATAGAGTGAGAGGGACAGACAGAGACACATACACAGGCACTCTCCACAGGGTCTACCAGTCATCCCCCCATCTCAGATAGCCTGGGTCATGGGCATGCATGCGATGCTCAGTATGTATTGAGAGGGCCCTGGACGTGGACCTGGGACTGTCCCATGTGGGTCCAGTTGTATTACCACTGTTCCACTAGCTAGCCCACTTTGTTTTAATTATAGCAAATTAATCGTTTTATGGCCTTTTTGAGGGACTAAAGGAGAAATTTTATGAAATGGGAAATTGGTGACTGCTCTTATCTTTTTAAAATGTTATCTGTGGGATCAGCAGGTGGCATGGAGGTTAAGGTAGCTGAATCCCACATGACTAACTCTGTGGTTCAAGTCCCAGACCCAGTGGCTTGAAAATCTCACCTGGCCATGTGTGTGTGGGGGCCAAAAACCTGAGAGGAAAATGGAATAGAAGGGATTGTGGCATGGCCAGTTCCTCCCACCCTCTGGGGGAGACATTCCTCTCTACTCCTGATTCTTCTTCCGCTGGGGCAGGTACCTTATAGCAAAAAAAAAAAAAAAAAAAAGTTATCTGGAAGTGGAATGTCTGTTAGAATCATTTAAGGTTAAAATCAAATTAGGCCAAATTAATGATGTAATGATGGTAGGATTGATGTAATAGATGTAACTTTTGTAGAAGAACACTACCCCATCGAAGTGTTCCCACAGTGAGATTGACAGTTGTTATACCCCTACATTCTCATTTTAAACAGTTAACGATTTAATTTGTGTTAATAGTTCTTTGTACCATTAGAAATCTCCTCTCCTAATTTCTCTCTCTGCCCTAATATGAAGTATTCATCTCCAAGCTCTGGTATTCTTTTTTAAATGTATGTTAAGGTGGGTAATAGTTTTAGACTAAACATTCAAGGCTCTAACATATTCTCAATTTAATGTTACAACTGCTTTTATTAAATCAATTTTAGTCGTTTACCTAATTTATGATGCCACAGATCAAAACTTGTTTCTTTTACTCTTTTAACGTTAAAGGAAGATGGTCTCAGCATAGTTGATATTTTAATGTTACAGTAAAAGTCTCAATCACTGGTCTTTTAGGTTAATTGGTCTTCTGAGTAGGCGGTCAATTTGGGGAGTAGTGTAGACATTTTCATTACTTCTTTAGGATGTGTGATGATGGCCTAGGTTGATTTTGAAAGTGTTCACTGAAATCTTGTTCAGCTAAAAAGAAATAAGCACCTTTAAGTTATTGTTCCTGTATATCAGGTTTTTGACCTCTGGGGTGTATTATCCATGTGGATGTTGAATTTGGTCAGAAGAGACAATTACTTGAGCAAGACCAACTTCCCCCCAGCACCCTGCAACTAAAAAAGCCAAACAAACTAAGAAAATGCTTTCCCTCTCACTGAGTCATAGTGTCGAGAAAGACCAAACGACCGATGCCTACTTCCGTTAGTTTGCCTACTTTGCTGAACCTTTGAAACCTTTCCATTTGGTTCCTTTACTGATGGTAAGACTTTACAGATGACAGTCATTCTCAGTTATGGACAGTCATTCACCGTCATTGGCAGGTTGGTGATTGTAATGGAGACCTGGCTGGAGTGGCTTCCGCATGTGAGGCTTCCTGCTTCACGTGAGAGCAGTCTGGAGGTCGGATATCTGTGGCTGCTGTGGAGGAAAGCGTCGCACACCTTTCTCCATCATGTGGCTTCACTGTACACTCATGTCTAAGATGGCCACTGGGGCGCCCGTGTTTATATTTGTACCTGGGTCAGTAAGAGGGGTGAAAGGAAAAGGGGAGAACAAATAGGGTGCCCTTTTAAGGAACCTTCCTGGAAATCCCACACAGAATTTCTTCGTATGTCTCCCTGACCAGCACTTAATGCATGGCCACCCACGATGGCACTGGGAGATGGCCTTTGAGCTGGGTGTGCCGATGCCCTGAGTGAAAGTGGGGTTTGATCAACTCAGAGGTATGGGGAAATGAAGTTTGAGTCGGCACTTGGGCATGTCTGCCATGTTTGTTTAGCCAACATTGACTGAACAATAATTATAGCTAGTACGTTTAACTAAATATTGGAGATGCAGCATTCAGAAAAACGTTCTCATTGTTTCTCAGCCTTTTGGCTAAAATCAAGGGACTAAAAACATCTTCTCTCTATGTGAGAATTTCTAGGTTTCTGGAAGAGATGGGAACATAAATAGTTATTTGTAAGGCAGCTGGTTATTTCTAGACAGACTTATATAGATGTGATCTGCCAAAAAAAACCCCCAAAAAAACAAAGAAAGAAAGAAAAGGAGAAAATGGCCAGTAAGGTGCACATACAGCTAATTGACCCTTCGGGGGAATTGGTGGATATATATTGTGGCTCATTTAAAATTTAACACTAAATGCTAAATAGGTTGTGATAATATATTTATAAATACATTTGGCTTCAAAAAGAACTTTTAACCCCATCCCTGACTTTATGCAGCATCAAATATAAATAGATAACATGTTTTGTAAAGAAATCGAGTAACTCATAATCAAGTGATGCCTTCCTTTGAACCTACAGAGCCAGTCATATTAAGAAAAGATGTATTCAGTGAATAGTTCCTAAAGCAGATGATAAGGATCATGTAATGTTACAGCTACTAGGGTCGTTAGAGCTAACCCAGCGTTGACCCAGCAGGTGGCATGGTGTTTGGGTGGCTGGATCCCACATGATTGACTGTGCAGTTTGAGTCCTGGACCTGGAGGCTTGTAAAACACACTAGGCCTGTGTGCGTGTGTGTGTGTGTGTGTGTGTGTGTGTGTGTATGCATGTGCACATATGCACACAAAAGCACATACGCCCAAAAATCCCAAGAGGAGAATGGAGGAGAAGGGATTGTGGTATGGCTGTCCTACCTGAGGGGTGCTTTCTCACTTTCCCTGTCGTTCTGTCTCTGGTGAGTGCACATGCCTATTGCAAATAAAAAGAACGAAAAAAAAAAAAAAAGGAAAAGAGAGAAGGAAAAAAGAAAAGGAATAACCCAGCACATTTCCATACTTGATGGATACATAACGTGAGGCCCTCAGACACTGTCAGTCTGATAGGACAAGCTAATGGTAAAAGGCTAAAAACCATTGAGTTTCTACTACCTTTTTTTTTTGAGAGGTTTTTGCTATAGAAAGACAGAGGTGTGCTCGCTAGAAAAACAGAGACATAGAGACAGAAAGTGAGAAGTCACCACCCCCCCAGAGGGGATGGCCACGCTGCAATCCCTTCTCCTCCACTCTCCTCTTGGGATCTTGGGCACACATGCACATGTGCCTGGTGTGAGTTTAAGCCACCAAATCTGGGACTCGAACCACAGGCAACTACATGGGAGTCCAGTGACATAGCCATTACATCCAACTGCCCTTTTATAGGAAGAGTAAAACCATGTAGAGGTGTCCTCTCGTCCTGTTCTCCTTTCCCTTAAATGATAAGGTCCATTGCAAGCAGAGTATGGAACCTGTCTAGAAGTTTTCCTTCTGTGTTGCCCTTTGGGTAGGATTCTGGAAGGGAAAGAAAAAGGGAGGAGGCACGGAACTCATTTTGTTTACATCCATTTATTAGATGAAATAATGTCTACCATTTAAAGCAGTTGTGGGGGAATCTCTCCCATGTACCTATCATGTATAAGCTTTCAACACTCCTGACTTTGAATGCAGCAGTTATACCTGATGGATGTTGCTCACCCAGCCACTTTTGTAGAAAGTGATTTTGTGAATTAATTACACGGTAGTCTCTAAAAGCTTTAGTCATTATTGGCTGTATTATCAGTTGCAAAGTTTTTATTTACAGTGAGTTCCTACTATATTGCAGGCACTTCATTAGATGTTAGGAACCAAAGACAAATTGATTTCAGTTGGAAGAGATATTCAGACTGGTGGTCAGGGTGATGGGGAAACACATACTCTCTCTCTCTCTCTCTCTCTCT